TTTTGACTGCTTCCTAATCCATCCACATATTCATATCTCTCGCTTCATGGAAAGTTTCAGTTATACCGTACCAGGTAGGTGGTAGTCACAAACACCACCGTGTTGGTCGCTTACTTCCAGAAACTCTCATTCGGCTAAAAACCTTGAATTCAAATCAATCCGGAAGCCACTACAGAAAAACGTATTATGAATTGCAATTGCCAACTAATTCCTTTCTCAAAAAATACGTTGGTTCACATGTCTCTTTCCTCCCAATCGTGATTATCAGGGCGGCGATCGTTCGGCGCGATTCCTCCCATTGCGCCGCCCATTCGACACGGTTTGCGAGCTGGACAATTCGTCCAGAAGACCGAGCAACCCACTGACCATCCAGCTGATAGAAACCCGGTCGATGACGCCGCCACTAATACATAGACGCCGAATTGTGGACCTACGTGTATTCTGGATATCAGCGTGGCGCCATCGATCGGGCTTCTATCAGTCGATGGGCGGTGGGTTCCTCGATCACCTGGACGAGTTGTCGAGCTCGCAAATCGCGTAGAATGAGCGGCGCGATGGGAGGAATCGCGCAAAACGACATACATCCTGATTACCAAAATGCTGAAGCAGAGTTGTCCGTTCGCATCAGCAACGTCTTCGTTCTAGCTAGCTACTGTAGTTTAGTGGAGCGGAACGCTGGACTAAGGTAGCTAGCTAAAATGAAGGCGTTGCTGGCGCAAGCAATTGTACACGTAGCGAATCATTCTTTTCCTCCAAAGCTTTTATGGAAATGTCTGGCGTCAGAACATTTGTTCGTCCTCGTGTTAGTTTGACAATTTGAGCGATATAGTTGATAAGCCTGCTTTTCGGCAATCTACACGAAATTACATTATGTGATTGACTCATCTAATGATCGTATCTATGGAGCAATTGTCAGCACCCCTGACGAGCTTCGCATTCCTCTCTGCTTTTGCAGGAACCGAGAACCACCAAGTACTGCGGGGGAAGTGAAGTTGTAATAGCCATTCACCATTTCAAAGGAGGACTACGCTCAATTTGCAATGAAGTGTTTTCAATGGTACAATGTCATCACATTTTCAATAACTCGCTTGAAAACTACAAAAAGCGTAGAATGAAGCTAACAGCATGTATATCCTGCTTCCGTAGAGTGGAGTCTCAGAGGCGCACGTCCAAACAAGAAGAACACCTGTATCAAAAAGTTGAAGCCTAGCCTGAATGCTCCTTACCAATTAGACCTCGAGCCTTCTTCTGATAAGCCCCAGAGCTAGGTCGTTCAGCACGTTGATTTCTCGAACTAGGTACACGTAGCCAGATGATTCGGAGACATTCATCCCGTTACCGTGAAAGGATCATCAGATACTATTCCGTTTCCCATGAATATCGTCTTCCCTCTCCAGTTTGAGCTATATCCAGCGAGCCATCACATGTGGCCCGGGAAATTCGTAGGAGGATTGGAAACTGGGATAAATTCGTGAACATTTCCTTAGCACCAGTCTTGATCTTTTCCCATTCGTGAGCGAGTGCGCCGTAGTTTGCAAATCGCATCCCTAGAAAAATCTGTGCCCTTCAGCTGCATCGTTTTAGAAAAAACCTCCCTAAAGAGGTACGGATCAAATTCTGCATCTTCTCGATCAATCCTTGCGATGAAGCTCTGATGGTAGAATTCAAGCCCAAGCTATCACGAAAGAAGGAAATGGCTGCGAAAGGCAATCTGACTCTGAATCTTTTTCTCGTGTTTGTGCATGTTCCGTAGCGTACTCCTTCCCAAGCAATTGTATTCGGGAAAGATTGTATGTGAAACAAGACGATCGTTTCGAGGTTTCTTAATGACCTGCTCCGCATCGCGAAATGAAGAGCGATCCCGAAAAAGGACTAACCAAATGCGCGCAAAGATGGGACGGTCGGTGGATGTTTGCCATGCTCCACCGTTTTTCGAAATCTAACGAATTTGGGAGTACCGCACTAGATGTGTGGGCTAAGGTATATCATAAATAGAAAGGGGAGGAAAAACTCGGAGAGACCCTCCAAACAAGGAAATTATGGACCTCCGAGAAGTTGTCACCATATTTATCGCGCATCCTGTATATACAACCAAGTTTAACATGACCCCTCTAATAGCGCAATTGTGCTATTCTCGTTCTCGCCGAGCACTTGGGCGGTGTTGTCTGTGGATGTTATCTATTCGAAGTTCCAAAAACCGAAAAAATACAATGGGGTTTTGGAAAATGTGCTTGAACTTCAGCAAAATATAACTTTTCATTCCGTCTCTAGGAAATTTTATTTTGTTCTGCGCATGTATATATATTATATATATATATTTATTTATTTATATTTTAATCTCACCTTTTCATGAGCATCACTACACATTCTTCAATGAAAAAATTATTACAACAGAGTAATGTTACAACTACTTAATAATGGGTTGGTCCTCCATTATTCGCAAGGACTTCACCAATGCGTCTTGGTATGCTTTCGACCAAGCTAGCTAACAAATTGGGACCCAAAATTGTCCAAGCGTGAAGAATGGACAGTTTGAGCTCTTCGACTATGTTGTACTGCTCTGCTTCGTCGTAGATCTTCTTGACAATGAAAGCCCAGACATTCTCCATTGGACTCAAGTCTGGAGAACATGCAGGCCACTCGAGAACTGTGATATTTCTTTTTGCAATCCAATCCGAAGTGGTTCGACTGACATGGACAGCTGCGTTATCGTGCATAAAAATCAATGACCGACGACGGCGTTGTCGAAGAAGTGGTAAAAGTCGCTCCTCCAGCACTCTCTGGTATTCTACGGAATCCATACGACAGGAAACAAAAGCAAGTCCAAGCTGTGCAGCCGCATAGAAGGCGCCCCAAACCATGAGAGATCCTCCACCGAAATTATGTCGCTTCAAAACCGAGGGTGCTTTGCGCAGATCCCTCCAGTACCCTCTTCTTCTGTCAGGTCCGCCTAGATTGAACTTCTTTTCGTCGCTCCAGATAACCTAAAACGTAAAATAATGATATGGAGTCAAAGACTGCAAAGTGTCGTAATAGCCGCACCATCGTACAATCGAATGAAACATTTTCAACGGCGAATTGGAGGCCTGCGGCTTTGTGTCGCTTCGATAGTCTTGAGACCCTCCTCATCAACTCGCCGGTAATGCTTTCGCTCGGCTGGGTTACCCTCCAGACAATGGTTTTGCTCAGAAGCCGCATTTTAGCGCGGACCCTGTTCAGGCTCATCGCTGAATTTGACAAAATACGTCCAATCGCTCTTTCATCTCGGGCAAAAAGCAGCCGTGGTCGACCTGAACTATTCTTCTTCCCGTACTGATCAGGATTCCGCAGGTATTCGTTTATGCACTTGCGTGATCCGCCGATATGAGTGGCAATCCTCCTTCTCGACCATCCGGCTTCAAACAGTGCTCTGACTTGAACTTGTTCCTGGTTAGAGAGACGAGTAGCGCGAGGCACAGTTACAAGAAACCGAGCAAGCTCCTGCATGACCCCGCATCCCGATTTCCCCTTATGAAAGAAGAAACAGGACTTTTTTGAGAGTGGATCCGTACTTATGATACACAGAAAATTCACTCCGGGTAAGTTATTTAGGTTATTTGGAGAAGAAAATTTCTCAGAAAAAAAGTTAACATGGGCAATCTACTGGTGATAGCAGCACTTTCTCAACACGCACAGCAAATTTGGAATCACGAAAAATTAGGGTGGCTCTATATTTATGAAACACAGTGTATATCATGAATCAAAGAGTTAACAAATAAATCGTTAAAGTTTATTTTAGTTTTTTCTACTTCCTCGCAGTAAATTATGCAAGCTTGACCGAAGCACTCTAAGTGATTAAATCTCTCTCATTTATAAAGCAGAAACTTGGTGTGTCGGTTTGTCGGTTTGGGTGTTTGTCGGTATGTCGGTATGTCGGTATGTCGGTATGTCGGTGTGTCCGTCCGCAAAAGTTTATGATTACGATAAGAGAGTGATATGGAAAACCCAGCTCTATCCTACATTCTTCTATATTTCTACACCTAAGGGGGGGGGGCATTTCTAACTGATTAATAAATGTAAGGAATGAGGGCCCGGCGCTACATCGGACTGTAAGCGGTCATCCAGTCGCTAAGATCCACAATTTCGTCACGTCGTGGTCGGTATCGACAACAGGTTCCACGCAAGGCTGGCGACTTGCATCATGGTTGGTTCAAAGCTTCTGGATAACTCTTTGATGCCTCCACTCTGAAATCGCCCTTCGATTAGCACTTCCGCTCAATTCTTGTTTGAAAGCGTATCCTGCGGCAGTTCGCTATTCATTGTTTCATACATCCAAATTCTCTCGAATGCCGCATGATTGTGGGAAGTTGACTCGAACTCCAGGAGAAGATAACTTTTCCTTCTGCTTGTACAAATTTTCACTCGTTTTGTACACATAATAGCTTAATATTGTGGGAACAAGAATTTAAATTTGGAATCTGTCCCGTGGGATGATGTCAACATAATAGTGGCCATTGTATGAAAAGTATCCCGTCCCATGGGGACGCGAACGAAAAACGCGCTCGTCGTCAACGTGGTAACTGAACCGTCAGTATATGGGGGTGTTGCCGTTTGCAATTACACGCGGTGACTGATGCTTTCATCTACAACACAAACCCGATAAGCTGCAAAGAATAAAGATATGTCCAATATCACGAGTAAAATAACGAGATCAAATATAGAGATTTCGAATGGGAACAACGGATGATGAAGAAATTAGACTTTGATTACAATTAGCAGTTGCAAGAAAGCAATTGCAAAGCGTCATCTATGTACAAGTTTCTGAATCATGATGAAAAACCTTAAGGGAGCAGAAAAGATTCACAAATGTGAAGGATGAGGAGAAAAAGCACTGGGCGACTCAATGAACATAATGGCGGCTCAGGCTAAGGCTTTGATTTGAGACCGGGGCTCTCGTTGACGGCGGCGACAATTGCGATTGCAATACCTACACAGTGGAGCATCAGTTATCCGACTGTTAACTAGCGGCTTTCGACTACATCATCTCTCGATGTCGGACACCCATTTGTTAGCCGATTGTTCGTTTTTCGCTTCCACTCATCCATATATCCGCATTTCATTCCATCAACCTGAATAAGTGGAAAAATATTGCTTGAAGGACCACCTTCAACATGATCTTTATATCATTTACCTGTCATGAAATACCTCGTTGTGAATTATTTCACTGCTCGTTACAGTGGTGAAGAAATCAATTCATTATGAATCGTTACTTCAAGGGACTTTTTCCTCGATGCTGTAAGATTTCGAATGGAGGATCTCGTTTGGAACTATTTCTCCGAACCCTTAACTGTTTGAAAAATTTCGACGGTAACTGAGGCTAGCATTCGGTTGCAAGCATTATGGTCAGGAATCATTGCATACATAGTGTACTTGACGGAAAGGAAGGAATGCGCCAGGCAAGGTACATGAATCCGACATCGTAACGAGTTCGAAGAGTCTTTGATTCTTGAACCATACAACACGACTCAGAGTTCGTATTCCCGATCCAACTAACCAATGCATTTCTGCGACACGCGGTGGGTGTTGCAAGCGTAGCGATTCAGGCAAAAATCCAGTGCTTTTGTAAATACCGTCGATTCGTGCATGTTGCATGACCGGTGCTGACTGGATGAGTTAATTCGGCAGCAAAAAAGCCTACATAAAAGGTCCCTAATCACCTGCCCATATACGCCGCGTCGAAAAGTGGTTTCATACAAGGAGTGGTCATACGATCAGCAGAAGCAGACTCTCAAGAACTTTGAAGAGCAATTGATCTAACGGTGAGTTGGTCGAAGAAGTGGCAATTGCCTATAGCGTTACACAAGACAGTGTACATACAAATGCAACTTTTGTACTCCATTGACGCGAACGTACACTGTTGATGGTGCCCTTCTCTCTGCTGTGCAATCCGTCAGAGACCTCGGCTTTTACTACAACGACAAAGGCTGCTTTCTTAGTCCGCCGGCGTGCCGGCGTGCCAGCCGAGGCAGCGCTAGGGAGAGAAGGGAGGTAGACGGTCGGTCGACGCGGTCGCGTCGCGCTCAAGCTCCTTCGAAGGGCTAAAAACAAAGAAAAACAAGATCAAAAAATAAAAACAAGTTCGAATGAAGCTCAGAGATAGCAGCATTTAGAAATCTTCGGACAATTCAAACTTTCAAAGGGTTAGCTAATCAAGGAGCCCTGTAGCGTGCTTAAAAGTCGTATGTGCGACCTCTGGTCAAACCCAGCACTACGGTTTTCAACAGCGAGAAAAGGAAGCATGTCTACTTGCTCGAAAAGGATCAGAATAACTTTACTTGTAAGCCGCTCATTCGAACTGGTGGTTTTTTGTTTTCCGTATTACCAAAAGCAGCTATCAGGAATCAGTATCTTGCAGTGACATTTTTAGAAACGCGACGCAGGGTTTTCGATCTTTGTATGGTTCACAAACTTGTACACGGCACGTGTGGTCACGGTTCCAATGACTTCAAGCTGACACATTCGAGGACTAGGAGTGGTTAGATGAAGATTACTTTGGCACGTCCTAAAACTAACTTGCGAGCGAGTAGCTTTGCCTCCAGGGCTGCAGTGAGTATCTAAGAGTGAAGAAAAAATATACCCGTTTCTTTATTGCTAGCACTGTTCAGACGTTCAAACGCCAAGTAGATAAGTTGCTGCTGAAGGAAACTGGTCCTAACGTGCCCTGAGACTGATTAACTAATTAACTTATCTTTGTATTGCGTATTGGTTGCTTGTACAAATGTTCAACATTTACTATGCGTTTTGTTTTCTTTCTCACGTTTGCCTTCCGTTTGCCTCTTGTGTGATAAATTTGTAACTTATAACTACATTCTTTCCCTTTCATTGCAAAAATTTTAGATTTCTGATCAATATTCCTTGTACGCTGAGAAGTTGTTTCAAGGGATTTGTGAACTCACCACGTAGCTGATAAGCATTATCCACGCTTTGGTGCATTCTCGTTTGGAACGAACGCTTTCGATTTTGGTGATCACCTCGGCTAGGCATTCGCCCAACTGATCCCATAAAGGACCACAGCATTTCTCGTTCATGTGCACATGCGAAGCACCAATATCCATACAGCGTGCCTATAATCATGTGGAAACGAATGACTGTAACATAGCTTTAATCTGCAAAATTTTGATTTGATTTCGAGCCAGCGTATTGTGTTTACCTTCGCAGTGCTGTAATTTGTACTCCATTACAATACTAGAATGCATAAATTTCAATAGCCTTGAATTTAGAATTTATTTGAATGATTGAAATTAAAAATATTGAATTTTACATTTTTCAGCATTTATATACAATTGAAACTATAATCTAACCACATAACCAATAATAACAGTGTCCATCTAAACTTCTTCAGAAATTTGTGGGAAACTTGTGGAAACTTTGTGGGAAGTTCAATGGATTCGTCAGAGAGTCCTTACGATTAGATACCCACTTTACGATAAAAAGGATTTCTGAGATTCCCCACGAGACAAACTTGTGACTTCTAAAAATAACGCGGGTCCAAATGGGGCCTAGGAAGAGCGTAATAAGAGCTCCAAAACCGGCTTGAACGAGTACACATCTGAAATGGACGCGTCGCAGAGACTGCAGAGGTTCCGCGATTCGCACCGGGATGCACAGGTTGCATGCAGGCAGCTGTCTGTAGCCAGCTGTAGCCGCAGCTAGACTTACATTCAGGCAGCTCGTCCAAATACCCCTTTGTGACGTCAACTAATCGTCCGAATCCTAATTGTACAACCCTTCTGAAGCCTCAAATCCCTTCGAACACGCGTAATCTTGCGCTTTCTTCGCCCCTTTTGTATTGTTTTGAACTTCCATCTAACACTAATCACCCAATAATTATTGTAAATAGTGTCTTCAAAGCTGCTACCACGCAAAGTGTAATGTAGAGTAACAAGAAATGCATTTTTAAGATTTCTTCAGAGTTGCATTCGTATGACTAGTCCTTTGACCCCTTGACGACAATGCCAATTTCGACGTGACGCGCCCACAGGACAACGCCCCCTGCTTTCGTGCACGACTGGCACCCACCGGTGGGTGCCGTGGTTTGAGCAGGAACTCCTTTCTCTGGCTTGATAAACTAAGCAATTTTTCCGCATAACAGAGAAAATCAGATCTTATTTTAATTATATAAAACTGAGGTTTAGAATTGCAATTCGGGTTTGGAAACAATGAAGGTTAGAATTTTGGTAATAGTGTAAGCAGTAGGAATTCGTATAACATTCAAGGAACTTGAGGATGAAGATATCGACTGCCCGGTCACATAATCGCAAATCAGGTAGTCTGAGTACTGCCTCAAATGCTTCCAGGACACACACAAATCTTGCCAAAGTATCTATACCTGTTCAGTACTACTTCATTGACTATATACCTTTGCAATAAATAAGCTCTTACAAAACATTCACGTGAGCTGTGTTGAATACAGATACCATGAAGTTTGATAATAAATATGAAGATATTAAATAAGTTTCAAATGTGCAAATAAAGGAACAAACATGGTGGCACCCAACATTGGATACCACGGTCCCATGCGCCAGTCATGGTGGCACCCATCGGCTGGTGTCATGGTCGTCCAGGGGTATATTTTCGTAGCAGACTATTCAAACTCCCCATATTCTCAAGAAAGTTTTGAATTCGTAGCCTTGGTTCCGCCCTCCACGGAATTTCCCTCACTTGCTTCAAACTTTGACAATATCCTTTGGTAGCCTTTGAGAAGTGAGAAATAGGGTGAAACGTAGAAAAGAGTGCAGGGTTGGCCATGAATATAGGTCGAGGTTTTCACCTTTTATTACAGAAAGAAAAAGTGCAAACGAGTCATGAACATAACATTCATTAAGTAACAAATGATACATTAACAATCATAAGTTACTTTTCGATTCGGCCACCTTTGGCACGGACGACAGCGCGGAGTCGCTCAGGAAAGGCGTCGATGATCGGACGCAGGAGTGTGTCATCGATTCGTCCCATTCTCGGATAAGCGCTGCCTTCAGAGAAACCAAATTGGGGTGGGGAGTGGCGCAGGCCTTGCTCTCAAGGTAGGACCACAAGTTATAGTCCAGTGGGTTCAAATCCGGTGACGATACCGGCCATTCTTCTGCCGAGATGAAGTCGGGGAGTTCGCTCCTGCACCACGCTTGGCCTTGTGGGCGGGCGCCGAATCTTACTGGAATGTCCACGGTGGGCCGTTGGAGTGGGAATTCACCCACGGGAGTAGACCATCTTCCAGAATCGTCTTCAGGTGGTAATCTTTGTCGATTTTGACGCCGTGGATGACGAATATCAACGGCGTCTTCTCCGGGGCACACACCCCTGCCCAAACTATGACTTGGGCAGGGTGCGCAGCCCGGTGAACGGCTCCTCCCTTCTTGTCGGCTTCCTCGGCATTCCTTGCGATCACTCTGACGTTCTGAGTGTTGAACTGCTGCTCGACGGTGAAGAGCTTCTCATCCGAAAAGACGATCGAATGGAGACCCTTGTTGCGCGTCTAAAGCAAAAGCTGTTGGCACTTCTTGACTCGCGCCTGCTGATTCGAGGCGCTGAGGATAGCAGCCTTCCGAGTTCGGTAGGGGTACATGTTAAGGTCTTCGTGGACGACCCTTTCCATTGACTTCCGCGAGATTCCTATGTCGAGCCATCGTCGAGATGCTCCGAGTCGCGCTTCTTGCTATTCGCTTTCTGACAGCCTCGACGACTTTCGGCGTACGAGCAGTACGAGGNTGTTGGCACTTCTTGACTCGCGCCTGCTGATTCGAGGCGCTGAGGATAGCAGCCTTCCGAGTTCGGTAGGGGTACATGTTAAGGTCTTCGTGGACGACCCTTTCCATTGACTTCCGCGAGATTCCTATGTCGAGCCATCGTCGAGATGCTCCGAGTCGCGCTTCTTGCTATTCGCTTTCTGACAGCCTCGACGACTTTCGGCGTACGAGCAGTACGAGGTTTTTCACTTCTTCGGCGGTCTTGGATCCACCAAAGTCTCGATAACGTTGGAGTGTGCGATACACGACGCTGCGGTGGATGCCGAGGTGTTTAGCGATCGTGGCGGGTGGGCGGCCGGCTTTGTGAGGACGAACGATATCGGAAAGACCGGGAGAAGGCTTCACCATTTCACTATGAATGGACCAAATTCAACCAAATTTTAAAAGGAGTTAGAAAAAATGATGATATTGAAAAATACGCAAAACTGGCGCGCTATGTGCGCGATAGAATGTACGCTAACTGCAGCAAGTCATGTCGCTATAATTATGGCCAACCCTGTAATATCAGCAGAAAGCTGCACTAGAGATGGTTTGGTTCAGTGCTTCCGTACCAAATCTGGGAACTCTTATAAATTCAAAGCATATGCTTAATAGCTTCTGACTTTCAGTTTCTTCTTTACTAACGAGCAACTGAGCAGTACCCCATTCGTTCTCTGCAGCGCCCGCTACGTATAACATGTAATTTCTCCGATTTGTATCCGCTGGTAAAAACAAAACGCTAAAACAAGGGCGGGGAAGAAGAAACGGCTCAGAAGATTTTTCTTTTTGACTGGAATTCGAAAGCGTAGGGTTTCCTGGAAACACTTCGGAGCTTCTCACTACTCATTCACGCAACCTGTTTGGAACAGCAAGCGACCACTGCCTTATTTTCACGTCCGCCACGTAGTTATTATGAAAAGACTACATTTTACATTGTCTTCTCAATACAGAGGCCGGGATGTTAACATGAGATAGATTGGGCATTGGGCAAAGTTTCTGTGGGCTCGCAACTTTCCCTGCACGTGCCTAATGATACCGTTCCTAGGGCTTTATTCGTTATAGTAATGCCCTCATCTTGCATTCTTAAGACACTTCTATGACACATATATGCACAAGTAACTTACTGCACGCGCTGCATTCGGGACTGCACGTGTGGTTCTCGGGTCTTAGAAAAAAGGAAAAGTAGATGAGAAGATAGACTGGGTTCGGAAGTCTGGACGGATGGGAGGAAAAATTGTTATAGATGCGTGGAATGAAATTTACCGCAGTTCTTGTTTTGCGCAAAGAAAAAAGTTTGTAGTGTGTAGGCAATCAGCTCACCGTCAAATAAAGTGCTACCTTCAGAAAAGGCAAGAGGGCAATTGGATATGCTTTCACGTAATTAATCTTTGTGTTTCAAAACAAGCACAGTCTCTCTGAATAAAGGACACATGACACAAATAAGAAGTACTTGGTATTCACCTGCATTAATTTCGATGACTGTTGCAAATCTGCTGCTATAGAATCGATCAGATCACAAAGCACCTGAAATGTTCTTATAGAATTTCATTAGAGAAAAAATCAGGAAAAGTGAAGAACTGGTGGAATTTTTGGGTATTGTCGGTGGAGCACAGCTACTAGTAGGTGTTGAGTGGTGGTATGCGATAAACACCGGGTCATAAATGGTTGCTTAAATGACTGATTGCTGTCTACAGCAGAGGTGCAACTGTGCGAGAAAATGATTGCTAACACTGTAATTTATGTGATAAACGGCGATACGACACAATATGCGGTGGTGTTGTGCTGACTGTTCAGGAAGACAATGAAGTAATAAGAAGATGTCGACACTTGATAGCATAGATAAGCGAGAAAGAAACCACACTACTCATAGAATTTTCAGAAATGTTTATAGTAGCTTTGCGATGAATATTCTATAGATGTTGTTCTGTTGATCTCAATATATGTTTTGAAAGAGAACTGCTCTGTGAAATGTGAAAAAAACATTGCGAGGCAGAAAGGTTCAGCCCCACTCCTAGAATATTCGATCCCTGTCCTTACGGAGATGATACGAAGCCCACCCTTGAAATGCGCTTGCTAAACGATCGCGTGCTCACATCAAACGAGCACAACTACCGCTTAAGAGATAAAGAATGCGGACCAGCTAGACCAATCCTCAACACTTACATATATATAACTCGCAAACCAATATTACAGTTGAAGCCAGGACTTTTTCTGTTTCTGTTTCTGTTTCGTTTTTGTCTGTCAATAATCTAAGGAGACAAATCAGCTAAGCAAGAGCAGATACACAACTTTATGTTACTATGACACTGAATTATTTCAACTTTGTGTGATACATATGCTCATTGTTACCTTCCCGCTTTTATCGGTCACTCAACTGATGCCGCACGCTTTCATTGGCTTTTGGAATTGTGCTTGGGTGGCTTATCAGCACATACGATATTACTTTCAGAAGACGAAAAGAATCTTTCTCCACCGCCTTTTCCTACTTGACACTTTCCTTTCCCTAATCCCGAAGTAGAGCTCACTGTTTCTGTCTGAATTTGCCTTTTTCCTGAAGCGTCATGTAAGGCACCATAACTCGGGCTCCAGAGTAGTTCCGACGCCGTCCCACAACAATTCCCCTTACTGAAAATCTTCGAGGAACGTATTCCGATTTGGACAACTTCCTTCCAATAACTTGCACCTTCCGAAGTAGTCGGCACTTTCCTCGCCGTAGTAATCGGTTCTGTTTTTTCCCACTTAGCATGCTGATTAAAAGTTTGGGAATATCCAAGCTAATTGTAAGCTCTGAACCTACTTATTGTGACAGTGTCAAGTCCGTCATAACACGTTGACGTCGAGAGCGTTTTTCGTTTGCGCGCCCACAGGACGAGGCCATTTGAAAGCTGGCTTATCGCCGGTCACCATTGACCGACATCGTCCCACGGGACAGACACCATATTTGGTTTACTGTATTCATAACGAGTAAGCCCTTATATGTATGTGTGAAGCAAGCAAAAACTCTTGGAAACAAAAGAAAAACTTGTATTCTGTTTGAGGTTTGGGTGAATATTCCAAAATCAAGAGGCTGTAGACCATTTCGGTGTATGAAGCTTTGAAGAGTGAACATCCATAGATGGTACTATTTAGACGTTTGGCGGGAACAAGATTAGAGTGAAGGCGCCAACCGTTGGAAGGAGTTCAAATTAGTCGTGGATAGCAGTAATCCAAGGTACTTCTAAAGTTCCAATTTTTATCGTCAATATGGGTTCTATGGCCGATGATGCTGATGTACTGGAAGGATGTTTTGACGATTTACTACTCGAGAGCGACGCCGAGGACTTGTATGAACCTGAGGGAAAAGAATGAGTTGTTCCTGCAGTCGTGCGGGATCTAGAGGACTTTGATACAAATGGTACCAACGAATGTGATAGCGACAATGACACTGAAGGTAATGTCTGGACTGACGATGCATTCTGCAATGATAGATGGATTTTCAACGAGCCGACAGGAGCACATCAAGATGTGAAATACTGTGAAACCCCTCTGAGACTTTTACGAACGGAACGGTTCTTTCCCGAGGATCTGCTTGAGATGGTTGCGACACAAACGAATATATATGGTCATCAGGAGAGGCGTTCGTGGAAAGAGACAGATAGGAGGAACTCAAAAAATTTTTTGGTCTCTGCTTACAAATGTCGCGGTGTCTCTTGGGCAACCAGAGGAATTATCGAACACTGAAACTTAGAAATTTAATTTAGAAATTTAGAACTGGGCATTGAATAGCCGGTGACATTATGGTGAGAGATCGATTCAAACAGCCTCAACGAAACCTCCATTGCTGATAATAGCGATGCAGGCAGGAGTAAAGACTTGTACAAGGTTCAACCTATTTTGGACTACTTGAACGCTAAGTTTCAGAGGATGTATAAACCGGAGAGGGAGTTGCGGATTGATGTATCTATGGTGCCGTTTCGCGGGCGAGTTTCCTTCTGGCAGTATAGCGGAGCCAAGAGGCACAGGTTCGGGATCAAGCTGTTCAAGTTGTGTTCCGGAGCAGGTTACACGTTAAAGGTGAAGGCCTACGCCGGGAAAGATCAAAGAGAACGAGGACAGTAGCTGCAACTGGTACGTCAGACTGTTTTACCATCTGATCACCCAGACGGCTTTGGTTAATGCTTGGTTCCTCTATTGTGAGAAGGTAAAAAAATCAAGATCAACTTTTCAAGGAACTATTGGGTTGTCCGAAAAGTTTCCGCCGATTTTTGACACCCNCCCGGATTTATCAACTGTTGTACAAAAGATGAAGGACCCAACCTAATAAAGTTATATGTTTTCTGAAAGAGAAGGTCCTCCTCTATATTTCTGTTAGGATTCTGTCAACATTTGTCGAAGTTTGTTTGCAGAGGACTCGTATGAAAATAGAGAACCACTGCGCGCATTTTTGACATCTGAAGTATTTCTTCTACCGCAAGGCCTAGAGTGCGGCTCGAGCCGCATGAAAGGTACATTACGTTTGAGTAGACCATGCCCTAGAGGAACGTATAGTGCATGACTAGTTTGCGGAATCCAAACAGAGTGAATTCGTCTTTGAAGGCCGGCAGCCCTTAGGGAGACTATCATAAGTTCAAACGATCAACTCAAAATGTTAACCGAAGCAAATCGACACATCACTGCTCGTGGAGTAGGAAAGGGCTTAGTGTTTCGAAATTACCATCCACGGTCATCTGCAGACGCTTGTTTTTGTAAAGCGCCTTGATGTTTAGATATCTCGCGAAAAGAGCGAGCGCAATGCGATGGACCGCTCCTCCATGTGCGACTCGTTGCTCAAACGAAATAAAAATGAGCCGTTTCTGAAACGCATGAGCACGAGAGACGAAAACCGGATTGTGTACAGCAACGAGGAGCGGAAACAATCGTGGAGCCCCCTAGTGAGCCGTCACAAACCCTGCAAGTCAAAATCCAGGTGCGGATGGCTATGCCGAGTTGCTGATGTAGTTTCAGGGAAATCACTTACCATGAGCTGTTGTCGCACAATCAAAAGATGACTTAGGAAAGGTTCTATAGTTAGCTAGAAAATGTGGAGGCAGCGATAGTCCAAAAGCGACCCGAAGTGGCCAATTGTGAGGGCGTAATCTTCCAACAGGGTACCTCCAGACCACACGTATTTTTGGCCACTCATCAAAAGTTGCTAAAGCTCGGGTGGGATGTCTTACCACACCCCCATATAGTCCAGACACAGCACCATCAGAATACCACTTGTATGGGTTTCTGCGAAATTCTTTGAATGGAGAATCGTTCAACTCATTGGAGGACTGCAAAAAGCACCTGAGTGGGTTTTTCGATTTTAAGTCCGGAACTTTCTATGGAAGAGGGGAAATGGAACCTAC